CCTCTGAGGGAGGTCAGTGAAGAGAAGTCCCGCATGATACAGGTCATGGGCAGCCAGAAAGCTGCTGCCCTGCAGAGGGAGAGAGTTGGTAAAAAGAGGCACCTACATAGTCACAGGTGGGCAGTGGGCGTGCTGCTGAGGATCAACAATTTTCAAGAAAATGAGGTGCTCTGCCCCATTTACTTTCTTGGCAAAATTATTCAGGGCTCCTCCCATTTGTAAAATACTCTCACTCCCCTCTGAGCACCCCAGAGGTCTCACTCAATGTAAGGGCAGGAAGACCACAGAGCAGGTTTTCTATGATCGCATGCAGACCGGAGGAAAGGAGGAAAGAGTCCTGGAGCCTTCAGTGGCTTTTTTGCAGGCTTTTATTTGGATTTACCAGGTACACGGCAGGCAGGGGTGCTGGGGGGCCGGGAGGCTGGCAGTCCTCCCAGCCCCCAGCAAGTCTTTACTCTTTCTGGGCTCTCCGGGTTTCTCTCTGCTTCTCTGCTCTCAGCTTCTCTGCTTCTCCAGGCTTCTACTGGCATCCCCATGACGCCGCCCTTAAAAAGCCCAGTCTCAGCCCAGGTGAATCCCATCTGCCTATGCCCACACCCTATTCCAGGTGCCCGCCATCAGGCATGCATTCAGGACCGCAAGGATCCATCATCTATCCTGATGGCGGGAGGGCAGAAAAGCCTGACATTTTTTCCTTACCCTACACTCAATTACAGCATTATTTTTGAACTCTAGGATCTGATCTATATCCTGTTTGGGGATAGCGCCTCTTCATCCAGAAATCAAGGAAGAGAACTATCTGTCAAAGGTGTGGCACCACTCATTGAAGTCAATGTCCTAATCGTGGAACCAAGGTAGTATGTTATTTATAAATCAAGGGGGAACTAAGCTTGCAGATGGAATCAAGGCATCTAATCAGTTGACTTTGTAACATGGAGATTATCCTGGATTAGCCACGTGTGCTGATTAGAATCACCTGAGCCTGATTAAGTGTTGGCAGGAGACAGAAGGCCTGAGTCAGAGAAAGACCCGTGAGGATGGAAACAGCTAGCAGAGTTATGTGTACACTGGCCTGGAAGAAGAGAGGGTGGGTGACCTTAGGAAAGTGGATAAATTCCAGCAGGAAGAACAAGCAAGAAATGAAACTTTCCTAAATCCTCAAAGACAAATCCATTCACTGACATCTTGATTTTAGCCCAGTGAGTTCAATTTTAGGTTTAAGACCTCCAGAATGGTATGATAATAACTTTGTGTTGTTTAAGCCAGCAAATTTGTGATCAGTTGTTACAGGAAACAAACACAACTTTCGATAAAACTTGCTGTATTCTTCACCATAGACAGCTTCCATATTCACAAATTCTCTAAACACATGACTTCTGACCATGAGTCCTTTGCATGATCTGAAAAACACTGTCAAATTTCTGAATATGTACTGCATATTAGTTAAATTTTCTAAAGAATGAGACCAATAGGTAATAGTTGCATATAGATAAAGACACAGGAAAAAAATAAATTAAAAGAAACTGGCTCACACCATTACCGATGTTGAGAAGTCATGAGTTAGATAAGGGACAAGACCAGGTGAACAGATGGTATGGCTCCAGAGTAAGTCAAAGACCTGAGCACCAGGGGGCCTCCCTGGTGGTGCAAGGAGTTAAGCACAGCACTGTGAAACTATCCATAGCCTGCAGCCTCTGCAGCATGAGTTCAATCCCCAGCCAGCCAGGGAGGTATCCAAATGGCACAGCAGACCTCTCCTGTCTCGCCCTCTGCTCGCCTCAGCAGTGTATTTCAGTCAGTCTGCCTGTCCTGCTCCCCACTCTGTCTCTGGTGAATCCTCTCACTCCCCACACCTCAGGCCTGTACCCCAGTTCTTGTATGCATAAATAAATCAATCTTAAAAAAAACAAAACAAAAACCTGAGTACCAGGACAGTCTATGTAGTCAGCTTCAGTCATGATCTGAGTCTAAGACTGGCAGTCTGGGAATGATGTTGAGCATGAGGACTGCCATGTACAGAGAGCATGAATTCTCTTGCTCAGCTCTATTTTTGCTCTAGTGCTCTATCCAAGACCTTCAGTGAATTAGATGAGGCCCACCCACCATGGAGAGAGCAATCTGCTTTGCTCAGACTGCTGGCTTAAATGTTAATCTTGCAGAAACACCATCGTTGGTAGACCCAGAATAATGTTTAAGCTAATGGCTGACCAACCTGTGACACATAAAATTAACTATCACAGGTCCACTTCTAAAAACTTGGCATCCATACACCTCTCCCTAAATCATTTTTGAGCTCAAAATAAAGATAATATCAAGTCATAATTCTGCCTGACATATGTGACTATGCTGTGTTCAACCAAAAACATGCAAACCCCTTCCCCAGATTTGGTGGTAAGATCTTTGAGTGAAGTTTACTCTCGTTGGCATTCTGCAACTTCAGTACTGTGATGTATAAAATTAGCAATACTTGAATACTATATCAAGTCAATATAAACTTGTTAATAATAGAGTGTAAGAGAGGGAGTAAAACCTAGAGAATTTATATATATATATAACATGTATATTCGATATTCAAATATACAAAATATTCCTAAAAATTAAGCAAGAATTAATTCAGCAAGTTATAATACTTGTTTTATAACAGGTCGCCGGGTCATAAATGGTATTATAATGAACTTCTATTACTCATTTGGTGTTCCCTTTGCTTCAGAAGAATCCTCAACTGGTCACTGATTTTTAACCAAAGGGAACAAACCTTCATTCTTGAAGGGCCTGGTCATTAGTAGTCCTGTTTAGCTAGCATTGTTGTAGTTTTCTGCTGACATAAATCACAGTGCAGGCTAATACTAAGAGACTATTTAAGGGATCTCCATATTGCAGACATGTTTCTAACCTCCATCATGGAGTCCAATTTTCCCTTGGTAGTCAATCTTGATTATCCCTGTCAGCACAGTAACTTCCTTCTTCCTTTGTTGATTTAGAGGTATGAGGACTCCAAAGTAACCAGGTGGCATTCTCACATTCAGTTCAATGGAACCATTGTGTCTCCTGGTACTAGTGTACCTCTCCTTGTAATATGACCTCTCAACCAGCAGAGCATAAAGTCAGTGGAGACATTAAGCAAAAATTAGCTGTTGGGATACTAGAGGTGACAATGAATGGAGTCAGTGGAACTTGCCCTTCCCCATGCCCACCACCCTTATTTCCAGCCTTAGTTTCTGGATTTCTTAATCTTAGCTCTTGGAGAAACCAACACATTGCCTGCTGATTCCAAGCGTATGTGGAGAATTTTACTCTGGTCTTGCACAGTATCATACCAGTTGGCACCATAACTGTGTCTTCCAAAGGACATTCTACCATTTTGTCACACTAGCCACTTTGGGATGGTGAGGAGTATGGTAGATACTCATCTGGGTTTTATAAGCAAGGGCTTAGTACCACACTTGTATTGAAGTTAATTCTTGTGTCAGAATAGGACTCAGCAATTTTTTTTCTCCTTGTAGATGAGACAAACCTCATGGCTCTGTGTATTTAAAAAACAAAGAAAAAAATTATACACCAAACCCAACACCATATAAATATTATGCAACTATTTTCTAGAAGCATTCTTGTTTTCTCTTTTGTATTAGGCCTTGTATGATCACCTTTCTACATGAACCTGGTATTAAAAAAACTAAGTACAGGGCCTCCCTGGTGGTGCAGGGTAAGTGTCAGCACTATGAAGCTATCAGCAGCCACTGCAGCATGAGTTCCATCCCTGGCCAGGGAGCTACCCACATGGTACAGCAGACCTCTCCTGTCTCGCCTGCTGTTCCCTTCAGCAGTGCATTTCAGTAGATCTGCCTGTTCTGCTCCCCACTCTGTCTCTGGTGAATCCTCTCACCACCCACTCCCCACCTTTGGCCTGCACCCCAGTTCTTGTATGCAAAAATAAATAAAATAAATCTTTAAAAAAAGTACAGAATGATGACCATCCTGAGCCTCCCTGGTGGGCTAGGGCTTAAGTCTCAGCACTATCACCACGACAGCCTGAATTTGATCCCCGGCCAGGGAGCTAACCTATTTGGCAGAGCAGACCTTTCATGTCTTGCCTGCTGCTCCCCTCAGCTGTGTATTTCAGTAGATCTGCCTGTTCTGCTCCCCACTCTGTCTCTGGTGAATTCTTTCACCCCCCGCACCTCTGACCTACACATTTCTTCTATGCAAAAATAAATAAATTTAAAAAAAAGAATGATGGCCATGTAAATTATGACCAAGCTTCACCTACTAATTTGGATATTAATTCTATAATCAGTGGAAGGGGTTTGCAAATTTTACTAGTCACAACTATATTTGTGAACACAAATTCTGAGAGGTTAAACAAGGAAACAAATAGCAAGACAATGAAAGAGGATATGTCTTTATTTGAATGCTAGCAAATGAGAATTCAGCTTTCACGTTGACCTCACTTATGAACTATTCCAGCCCACAATAAGAAGTGAAATCATACAATTAAGAATCAATTTGAGGGGCCTCCTTGTGTGGCACAGGGGTTAAAGACAGTACTGTGAAGCTATCGCCAGCCACTACAGCATGATTTCTATCCCTGGCCAGGGAACAACCCACATAGCACAGCAGACCTCTCCTCTCTCACCTGCTGCTCCCCTCAGCAGTGTATTTCAGTAGATCTGCCTATTCTGCTCCCCACTCTGTCTCTGGTGGATCTTTTCACCCCCCACATCTCTGGCCTACACCCCAGCTCTTGTGTGCATGAATAAATAAATCTTTTAAAAAAAAGAATCAATTTGAACTATTTGGAGAATAACAATGATTTTTTTTTTTAAAAAGACATTATTGAACTTGTCTATTAGCACACCTGGTGTTCTCCTGCTTGACATTAGTCACAGAATTGAAAATAAGCAAAACTTCACTGTGCATTCAAAAATCAGCTGCACATGTATCTTTGGTCAGAAAATCAACAGCAATGATCTTAGACTTGATTTTTTGCTTTTTTTCTAGACATGATAACTTTACTGCTGAGCATTGCTGCCAACAGAGTCATGTTAGAATTTATTCTAGGAAATTTGGCCAATGGCTTCATAGTGCTGGTGAACTGCATTGACTGGGCCAGGAGACAAAGGTTCTCCTCAGTGGATGGTTCTCCTTACTGCTCTGGCGGTTTCCAGAATTGGTTTGCTCTGGGTAATATTAATAATTTGGTATGCAACTGTGTTTAATTCCACTTTGTGTAGTTTAAATCATTTATAATGATTATGAATATTGCCTGGATAATAAGTCACTACTTTAGCACCAGGTTTGCTACAATTCCCAGCGTATTTTGTTTGCTCAAGATTTCTCCAGCCTTACATTTCTGTACCTAAAGTGGAGAGTTGGAAGTGTGCTTCTCATATTACCATTTGGGAGTTTGGTCTTTTTGGTTTCCCAACTTGCATTTTGAAGCCTAGATGGAAATACTCTGACAAGAGAATATAAAGGACACATCAATTGGAACACCAAATTCAGAGGCATTGTGCCATCTTCCAGATAGGACCTATTCACGCTGGCAAACTTCACACCCTTTACTATGTCCCTGGTGTCTTTTCTGCTGTTAATCTTCTCCCTGTGGAAACATCTCAAGAGGATGCAGCTCAGGCACAAAGGGTATGAAGACCCCAGCACCAGGATCCGCATCAGATCCGTACAGACCATGGTCTCCTTTCTCCTGCTATTGGCCAGTTACTTCTTGGTTGTCATCTTCACAGTTTGGAATGATAGTAGCCTCTCGAACAACCTGGCCCACATACTTTGCAATGTTCTTTTAATCCTATATCCTTCCAGTCACTCATATTTATTTTTTTAATATTTATTTATTTATGCATACAAGAATTGGGGTACAGGTAGAAGTGTGGGGGGGTGAGAGGATTCTCCAGAGACAGAGTGGGGAGCAGAACAGGCAGACTGACTGAAATACACTGCTGAGGGGAGCAGTGGGCGAGTCAGGAGAGGTCTGCTGCGCCATGTGGGTAGCTCCCTGGCTGGGGATCAAACTTGAACTCATGCTATAGTGGTTGTGAATAGCTTCATAGATTGCTCCTTAACCCCTTGCACCACCAGGGAGGTCCACACTCATAATTCTTGATTTGGGGAAACAAGAAGCTAAAGCAGGCCTGTGTGTCATTTCTGAGGCAGCTGAGGTACTGGCTGAAGGAAAGGAAGTGGGTGGGAGTTCCTGAGTCTATGGGCAGAAAATGAACTGATAAAGTTTAACACTTTATACTCCTTCTGCTTCTTCTAATGTGTGTATAATTTAATATTTCCCAAATATTATATTTATGCTTTTATAGAAGTAACAACTTATACCAAGAAATCATTGCTATTTTCATTGTAGTTAGTGGCATACATATATACCCCAGGGTGTTTAGATTTCATTGCTTGAACTCCCAGTCTTTTGGATGGTAATGCTATTCTGTTCCAAATCACATGGTGAGGATGTCAGCTTAGAACAAATATTATTGCACCACGCGTCCTTACTTCATAGTTAATAGGGAGCAATGGGAACTGATGCTTGGATAAATGCATATGATAAAATTCAAGAGTGGCAGACATATTTACAGTTCATGTTACATGAATGTACAATAAATAGTGCTTAAGAATATGAGATGGTAGAAGGAGGTGAGAAGTTGAGAAGAGGATCAAGTTGTATAACAGGGATGAAGAGGAAAGGAAATGATCATGACCTGCTTTCAATGTTGGTCTCGTTCCAAGTGCAGATAGGGAAGCTATTTGTTCCAGGTTTTGAATTAAGATCTTTTTAAAAGTGATCTCTGATGTCAATTATTTCATTTTCTCCTAAACTTTTTTTTTGGCCTCTGAATTGCCAATTTTCTCCTCCCCAAAATTTATTTTAAACTTCATTTTAAGAAGATTAAATTGTTCTCTATCTTAAAACATTTAAATTTAAGGATTTTTTTAAAATGTGGTGTGTCATACAGTGAACATTCTGTATATATATGGAGTCTATGTAATAATTATAGAAAATGTCTTCAAGACCTGTTTTATTTTAATTTGTGGAAGTTTTCAAAAAAAATCATGTTGACATACTCTTGAGATCACCGTCTGTAAAAAAATGTACA